TCGAGTCGTCAAAGGCACTTATATAACCTTGCCTTCTGGCAAGTGAATACACAGATTCCACTATATATGTATATAAACACACACGCGGCAACTACACAGATGCTAGTACTATTCGACGTATAAACTGACGTATAGTACTGACGTATAAATTCGGGCATTCTACTCATTTTAGAAACTCGTAAGCCGAAATCAAGACCCTCTACCACGCTGTCCAGTGAAGGTTTAATAACTTCACGTCTCACACATGCCATCGTTTCAATCATTCCGTTGCTTTAACAGTGTACCGAAAAACGATATGTCATGAATAATGATATATAAGTCAACGCACTAGGCTGATATTCAGGATCGGTATGATGAGGGTGGTGCATGGCCCATTGTGGTGGTGTTATAGGTAGGGGAAAAGTGCTTGAGTATTTCGCGGATACGCTCGTATATTACGAAGCCTGCGATTTGAAAATTATTGCTTTAACTTTTTTTTTATTCCGAAATATATATATGCCGACACAAGATTTGTCTCACTCACCCGTAACATATATACTGCTATCTCTTTCCTCTCTCGCTGTTATCTAGCGGATCTCTCGCGGAGTCCAGCGGCTCGCGTATCTGATGCTCCCTCGTCCAGAGGCTTCTTATCCAGCGCTGTCGTAGCGTGATGTGCCTTGATCGTATCGTGATATCGTAGTAATCTTTTACTGTGTCGTCATCGCATTCTTGCTCTTCATTGCTTCGTCGCGTGCCAGGTCGTCAATTCGAATGTTTTGGCTTAGACATGCATTATCTGCAGTAGCATCAATGTCCGTAAACACTGCATGACATGCGCCATAGTTTTTGCACGGGGATAGTCACCGTTCTTTAATTTCGTTCTTCTTCTTCTTCTTCTTCGTCTTCTTCTTCTTCTTCTTCTTCTTCTTCTTCTTCTTCTTCTTCTTCTTCTTCTTCGTCTTCATCGTTGCCGTTATCTGCACTCAGTGTCCCGGCGCGTGCATCGTACACGGTAGTTTCTTGCATTGCGTTGCGAAGGCATACCCCGTTCTTTTGATCACGGCGCCAAATGTAGTGTCGTATTACTGCCACACATAGCTGTCCATATGTCATCTTGTCAAGTTGTTCGTGACATAGGGACACAGCTGTTTCTTGAACTATTTTCTGTATTCGGCAGTACAAACATAAATTGGAACCAATTGAAAGACCGATTTATTTTAGAAATTAATATTGAATTGTAGAAATATGTATTCTGTATATATATAATTGTAGACTGATTTATTTTAAATCAATAATGAATCGTAAACATTATTATATCTGGTGGGTAATCTATGGTATAAATAGTGTTGCAAGCTAGATTATTTGTTATCTGTATGTGTTTTATGCAATGTGATTGCAGGCATATCAGAGAGAGAGAGAAGAGGAATAATTGGTGCCACGGTGCTAGGTCATGATCGAAGCTGGGATTGGAGCATGCTAACTTTTTGGTAATTCAAACATCATGCATAATAATTTTCCATACTAGCTCTACCCTACAGTGAGTAATTTCTTTCTTGATCTTAGGAAAGAGCTTTGACATTGACTTTCATGTACATCACAGTTTTTTCTACGTTTTCCTAAATTTTTGGATTCATTGACTTTCATATATATATATATATATATATATATATATATATATATATATATATATATATATATATATGTAGATCATTACATACATATTTACTCATGTGTAATCACACCTTTTTGTACACAACTTCAATAAAAAATAAGTGGTGCGACTTATACAAGAACTCTTGTGCAAGAAATGTCATCATTATCGCAACAGCGCCTATTATAAATGCCAAACCGTGCGCGCATATTGCATATGGGGGCAACCATCTTGAATACATATTTCAATAGTATCCGGATGTGAATAAAACCTTTCTCCACTCCTGATAGTATCATATTTTATGTATAATTATTATCATCTTAGCATTTATTTCTAATACTTCTTCTGTACATGGATTTGTATCTGAATTACATGCAATAAAGATTTAATAATAATAATAAAAGCAGAAAAGCAACCAGTGTGCTTACTTTAATAAATTAGAATGTGTAGGTAGGATGTATGAATTTAAGGTGTAATGTGACGTCATTGTCGCAAAACAACACTTGATTGATGATAATTGTTGATTGTAGTTATTATGTTCATTCATCAATCCTACTGCATCATTCTCAGTAGAGCAATATATATTACCTTGATGTGATCGATTCGTTGATATCCTCGATGTGATAGAATTGTTAAATTGCTGGGTGTGGATCGATTCGCCGAATTTCGATGTTAATCGATGCGTTGAATACTGGACGTGCCTATGCATGACCCCTATATGTCTGCGACCTTTGGTCGCTGCATGTCGCTTGGTATATATTAATCAGGGCTCGAACGAAACTCTCTCGCTGCTGTCGACGATTCGGGATTCAGACAGTTCTCCCCTTCCCGGCTCTAATAGTAAATAAATAAATTTATCGGGTTGCCTCATCATCCGTCGGGCGCGCCCGAAATCGTGGTGAGTGTGTTACTCATCATGACGTTTTCGATTGCCTAGGAGAACATTACGCGTCGCAACTCCTGCTAATGAAGCTCCTTATAAGCTCTAGCACTAATGAAAACGGGGGAAGTAACAATCAGTGCCGAAATGCCGGTACAGCGATGTTTAAACGTTCCACGAATTCCACTTCCATGTGTTTTATTTATTTCGGGGCACTGGCGGATCCGGGATTTCAATGAGGGGTGAGTAATAGCGGGGGGAGGGGGTTCTCCCCCAGCAAATTTTGAAAATGTAGATCGCAGGAGATGGTATTTGAGGCACTTTTGAGCCTCATTCTGATTTACAGCACCGCCTTCATTCTGCAACAGCTGCTTTACCACTCAATTACATAATTTTATATTAATTTAACCCATGCATCAGGTAGAGTTTTGTACAGCACGCGACTATTATACTTAGCAATAATTAATTGGTATAATATACAAACACATATATATATATTATGTGTAAAAATATGTTACTCCAGCGGAGGGGTGGGGGGCAGGCACCCAATACACCACCCCTCTTAATCCCCACTGCCGGGTTATAGCTTTGAATAGTGTTTGTTGTGAACGTAAGACATCAAAACAGGAAGATGTGTTGTGTGAACGACCCATGTTCTTTACTTCCTTCTTAAATCAAAATTCATCAGAATACTGTATAAAACTTTAGCCCCATAGTAGACGAGCAGATTTGAACTTTTCAGTCAAACAAATTGCAAAAGTTTGTTTTATTGTTGATTCTTGTTTATTAGGTACTTCTTGATGACATATCCAAAATGGGACACAAGTTTCAACCCATAAGTTACCTAATTTGCATATTTACAAATGGCCGTCATTTTCAGATTTGGAGGTCAATTATCTCTCAAACTATTCATTTTCAGCCAATAACGTCATTAGAGGTGAATAGAAACATGGCCAATGAATTTAAAATACATATAAAAGCCCAACCTCTTTGAACACGCTAGGTTTAATATGTCAAAAGTATGTCGGGGACACATTTTTAAAACCAAAAACAGGAAAATGATAAGCATTTAATCAAGTATGAAAACACCGTGTCAATTGCAAATAATTATATAAGCACACACTGATATATTACATTAATCTTTTGGATACATTACTGTGCATTAGTACTCAAACATATCCAATGGTATGTTTGTACAAAGTCCGTCTTGACACTTTCCACAGGCTTCATTGCAGAACATCCCGTTCTTCTTGCACGAACATATCATTGTGTCACAATACTCCTTACATTTGCAACGTATTATCTTCAGTAGCGCATCAGGAGCTGCTGCTGTTGTCCATTCTCTCGGGCATCAAACTTTCACAATTGACTATTCTAACCCCAATCTTCCGGTTTATTGCTACGTTTCCTATCCATACTTGAGTCTGTAGGAAAACTCTATAAGAATGGAACTTGGCAGCATCTCTGTCTGGCAGCCTTTTGATGTCGACACTCTTGAGGCTCTTCACAACCTTGTCACCAAACATCTTTCTACGTAATGACTTTCAAAGTGGTACCTTGTCCACCATACACAGCTACAATGCTTTGGCCCCAGCATCTCTGATTCCATCATGGTTAAATAAACTTGACATGAAGCATTCACCTATCTGCATTAGTTTGTCCGATTTCTTAGTCCTAGCACACAACCTTTGTCGATCCCATGGAGTCCAGATGTGTATCGCACCCACATACAGCATGCAGCAATGGTAGGTATGTGCATAGCCGGCTCCAAAATTGCACATGTCGTCTGGATGTTCCACAGTGGTCTCTTAATTGCACTCTTCTCTGACTTCATGAACAAGCTGGTACCTGGTTTATGGTGGTGGCCACAGAGCACAAGGATGTCAGTATCCTCTGCAATGACAAATGTCGTCTCGTACACGGCCATGGTCACGCTGTCTGAACAATCAACAGATCGGCGTCGTCTTCTGCATGAATGGTTTCGATGTCCTGTTTCCTCATCTCATCAGCTACATGTTGATGAACTCTTGTTGTTTGATTTGTCATCAGGAATGTCTTCTTATCTATCTTCAATGGTAAGTCAAGCGCTAGTTTTACTTTTGCTGAGGATTGACCCGCTGCACGTCGTTGGTATGGTCTGTCCACTGTCTTGATTGTTTCCTGTGAGTAGCCATCATACAACAACTATTGGTGTGGGCATACTTTTGCACCACACGTATATATGTGTTGATTATTGTCTATACATATCCCCCTGTGACACATGGCAAAACGCTTGTAGAAGGACACCACCATCTAAAACATGCATTCTGCTTCTGGAATATTAATGTCTTGTGTGTCACTGCAGAGTTAGTTTAGAAATAGCATCCGAAAGTTTTGGTTTTGTAAGAGCGTTTAGTAGGCCCATGCTTGTAAAGAAGGATGGTGGATAAGCGACAGCTCCGTATCTGAAAACCTCATTTAGATCGATATCAGTGTTATTTGCTATGATCAGGAGTCTCTGAAGAGCAGCTGCAGATCGCAAACATATTCCTCTCCATCGGAAATCTCCTTTGCTCCAAACACTTTGACTTGGTTCTTTTTCTTGAAGACATATTTTGTAACCTGCTCGCCTTCCATGCTGGTAATGATGGACTTGCCTCATATCTTCACCATGTGAGCGTTGGACACACTTGAGGGCAATGCCTGTTGATATGTCTAACAAGTAATCACTCTTTTTGAACGCGGTCATGGCTTTTCAACGTATTCAAGAATGATTGCCGTATCTGCCATATCTCGCTTCATTGCACTTTGACTGAGTTCACTGGTCGTGTTCTTGTAGCTACTGAGCTTCTCCATCTTGGCTTTGTTATGTGGTCAGGCATCGTCAGCAGCCACCTTGTCCGTTGTGTCTCGTCCATCCCTCGTCCATGCGTGCTTCCACCCTTGCTCTTTAGAGACTTCATTCAAACCTGCGCAATGATCAGATCTGTTGCCAAAGCACCCCAGAATCGATCGCTACGTCTGACAAACATATTTCCATCCATGAACTCTTGAAAAACACTAGGGTTTCTTTCCTCTGGGTTCAGCATGTCCTGCAGGAACAGATAGACGGACTTAGCATAACTGTTGTGCCCACTTGCTGCGAAGTATGGTAGGCATTTTCTTCAGGGACTTCAGCGTGAAGCATGAAGATGCCAGTGCGTTGAGCCTTTAGTCAGATCTCAGAAGATCAATTGTTCTTGTTCAATAACTTCCTCTGTTGGTGTTGCAGATTTGTCAGCCTTGCTTTCTGGAAAAGCTGATCGAGTGCTTGGATAATATCATCATTTGTTTCAGATACATGTGTTTCATCGCCGAAAACCTCGTCAAACATCTGTAGAGCATGGGCCACTACCTGTTCGTTGGCTTCTTCTTCAAAAGGACTGCGTTAAGAGCGCCATCCACCAAAGTGGCCCCTGACTGTTCTTGCATACGCCTTCCCGCTGAGCATATGTGTGACTGTGTTACCGCAAAGGCTAACTCGACAGCGTGAGAAACCACTCGACATTCATGAAATGGCTAAATGCTTCCGAGAAACGAATCAGGTATGGAAGGCTCCAAGTATAAGGATGACATTGCTCAGCTCTTCTTCTTGGCTGATGATCAGTTTGGCCTTCATCCAGAAGGGCTGGTCAAACGTATCGGTTAAACGTAACTGGTCAAACTATCGGCTGGACGTTGTACTTCATACATTGATTGTTCACAAACGTTAGTGTTGAATACATGCAGCTCATGTCGGTAGGGTCTAGATCTATCATTAGAAGGAAATGGAAAAACGCCTTCCCTTGGTGCTGTCCGTGTGTTACTGCTTGCATGAAGCCCGACCAACAGGTTCTTAATCTAGTGTGGATACGGGATCTTCCAAAGTAAATTCAAGATGTCGTCTTGCATCTTCGGCAACTATTCTTGTATGTGTTCGTACAAGAAGATTCTCACCACATTTTCCAGCTTCCGAAACGGTAGTATTTGCTAGACTTGAAGTGTGTTTGCTGTAGACTGGACTTGGAGCTCCTTGTCTGGGATGGTACGCGTTGGACTTGACTGCCGGAATTGCTGTATATACATTAGCCCCATGCCATGATACGTTTCCTCTGCCATCAATGTGGATGGTGTTGTGATCAACATTGTCAGCTATAACGTGACAGAAACTACTTGTATGTTGGAAAAAGTATCACTCTTGATGTTTTCGCAGCCACGTAAACAGGAACAGAACGCAAAAATTGTAATCGTGCATGATTTTGTGAATAACGAAGGTTCTATAAGACATTTATCGTTACTCTAGACAATTGCTGTTACTCAAGCAATAAGGTAGGTATCATGACAAGTGGGGAAAACACTGGAAAATTCTCGCAGATAGTTACTTTAATATAGATGACAATATTCAGAAAAATTGTCCACGTGAGTCAACAACTTTGCATCAGTTTGTTTCATTGTTTGATTCTTGTTATTAGGTAGTTCTTGATGATGTCTTGGTTTAAAAATGTAATTTTGACGTATATTTTCGACATCTGGACTCCGACCTAGTTATTCAGAAAGGTATGTGGGCTTCTAAAATGTATGCTTAGTTATATTGGTCATATATCTATTAACCTCTAATACAGTTACTGAACTGAAAATGAATATTTTTAGAAATAATTAACCTCAAATTTGAGAATGGCGGCCATTTTCAAATATGCAATAAGGCACTTCTGGGTGAAACCTGTGATCCCATTTTGCGATATTCATGAATGGACTACCTAATAAACAAGGAATCAAAACAATAAAACAAACTTTTGCAATTTGCTTTGACTCAACATGGAAATTTTTCTTAAATCTGCCTCGCTATACTGACGACACCATTATACAGGACGGATCTCCGTCGGCGTTTTTGCTAACGAGACGAGTGTATACTATACGGCGGGTATCGTCGGAGATGTGCTTGTTCTTTGCTACTTGGAGCGTGTGTCGCTCAGTTGTCAGCCGTAGCGGAGGACGAGAGATATGTACGGCGTGTGTCGTTGGGGAGACGGTGTTGCTATGGTAGAGCGTGTGTCGCCGTCAGCGAGAGGACGAGCAGTGTACGGCGTGTGTCGTCGGGGGAGACGTTGTTGCCATGTAGAGCGTTGTGTCGCCGTAGCGAGAGGACGGAGAGGTGTACGGCCGTGGTGTCCGTCGGGGGAGACGGTGTGTGCTATAGTAGATGCGGTGGTCGCCGTAGCGAGAGGACGAGAGTGTAAGCGGCTAGTGTCGTCGGGCGAGCGGGTGTATGCATATGCAGAGCCGTGTGTCGTCCGAACCGTCGAGAGGACGAGAGGTTGTACGGCGTGTGTTCGTCGGGCGGAGACGGTGTTGCACTGCAGAAGCGTGTGTCGCCCGTACGAGAGGACGAGAGGTGTACGGCGTGTTGTCGTCGGGGCAGACGGTGTGTGCTTTATGTAGAGCGTGTATGTCGCCGTAGCGGAGGAACGGAGGTTGTACGGCGTGTGTCGTCGGGGAGACGGTGTTGCTATTAGAGCGTGTGTCGCCGTAAAAAAAAGCGAGAGGACGAGAGTGTATCGGCGTGTGTCGTCGGGGAGACGGTGATTAGCCTATTGCAGAGCGGTGTGTCGCCAGTAGCGAGAGGACGAGAGGTGTACGGGCGTTGTCGTCGGGGGAGACCGGTCGTTGCTATGCATAGAGCGTGTGTCGCCCGTAGCGAGCAGGACGCAGAGCGTGTACGCTAGATGTCGTCGGGGAGAACGGTGTTCCATGCAGAACACGTACACGCTCGTGTCGCCGGATAGCGAGAGGACGACAGAGATGTATATCGGGTGTGTGTCGTCGGGGCGAGGACGGTGATGCTATTAGATAGCCGTCGTGCGCCAAAAGTGCCGCAGAGGACGAGAGGTGACGCGGCTAGTGTCGTCGGGAAGCGTAGAACGCGGCGCGCGATCGTAACACACACACAAAACAAAACAACACAACACACACACACAACACACACACACACACAACACACACACACACACACACACACATAATCACACACACACAACACACACACACCCACAAACATACAACACACACACACACACACACACACACAGCACACACACACACACACACACAGTAATAGAGAAGAACTAGACAGAGGGCACTCACGCGAGAGTGCATACCTCCGCGAGCATGAGTAACATGTATGTGTTACGTGCTGGCTCACCGCTCGCTGCTGCTGCTGCTGCTGACTGACTCGCCTGCTGCTGACTCGCGCTCGCTGGTGGCGGCTGCTGATTTGCCGTCTTGCTGGTGGTTGCCTGCTGACTCACGCGCCTGCTGCTGACTCGCCGCCTCGCTGACTCGCACGCGCTATCGGATCGCGCCGCCCGCGGCTGGACACACACCACACACACACACGACCGATTACATTACCTCCCTGCAACTCCGTGCGCGGAGGTAATAACAGGAGGAAAGACGAAGAGATTTAATAGGCGCAGGAATGCGCTGTTGAATAATTGAATATCAGACGAGAAAGATAAATTGGAGAATGTTTCTGGGCAAGGAAAATGGCGGATGTGGTGCACTGCGTGGTAGAGAAAAAACTGGAGACAATCGTTAGGAGGCTGATTAGAACAGTAGGACACATTAGCCAAGTACCTATCTAATCGCTTTTCTTCGACGTTGTAGATCGTCTATACTCCAGTCAAAGATGCTTCTGCTCACGTAGACGTCGGTAGACTTAGACATTAGCTGTTAGTTTTACCCGTGTGTACAGAGTATTTATCATACAGGCCTAGTATAATAGGCTTATAATATGCTCGCCTCTATCTCTCTCTCTGTCTCTGTCTCTCTCTGTCTCTCTCTGTCTCTCTCTGTCTCTGTCTCTGTCTCTGCCTCTCTCTCATGATTAGTTTCCCATTTTGCATATATGAACTTGCTTCGCCACGAGTAACAGCTGTTCTTTATTCTCATCATTTGTTGCTTTCTCACACACACGCACGCACGCACGCACACACAAATACACCACCCACAAACATATACACTATACTTCTCTTGGTAATTGTTTATTATTGACGCAGTAGACTTGATATTATTATCATGAATGCGTTTTACTAGATCAGTGTTCAAACGTACAGTTACTTACAAAAGATTAGAAAGCAGTTTTCATGGTCACATGATTACGGTAGATTCAAAACACCAAAAAAAATCACAAACATAAACACAGTGCCGGTTGTATACCTTAAAGGTTTTAAGACTTCTCAATTATATCCTAGAAAAACACCACCACTTCCACTTTGGAAAGAAACTGTAACAGTTGCGTTGCATTAGTTGGTATTCTACACTGCCTCAGTTCACATGTGTGCAGCGCGTGCTCGCTTGTTTACAGAGCCAAGCTGATCTTACATTGGAGTCTGAGAGTTGAGATGTACTTCTGCTTACATCTGTACGAATCATCCATATAGTTATTATGCATTGCCAATGTGTGATTATAGGGTGTTTCAGAGCTAACTTCTTCACTTCAAAATGTTACATATTAAATTTTTCTTTCGTCTTTTCTTCTTCGTTTTCTCTCCCGTGTGAGTTTTCATGTGTGTCTTCAGATTACCTGATTTGTGCGAAGATACGCATCACACAGATCGCACACTATACGGTTCTCTCCCGTGCTGCATATTCTCATGTGTGTCTTCAGATTACACGATTGTGAGAAGGCAGCAACACACAGCTCGCACTTATACGGTTTCTCTCCCGTGTGATATCTCATGTGTGTCTTCAGATTACACGATTGTGAGAAGGCAGCATCACACAGCTCGCACTTATACGGTTTCTCTTGAGTGTGAGTTCTCATGTGTATCTTCACTTCCCCCAGGCGGGAGAAGGTAGCATCACACAGATCACACTTATGTGGTTTCTCTCCCGTGTGAGTGATCATGTGTGACTTCAGATTACAAGATTGTATGAAGGCAGCATCACACAGTTGGCACTTATATGGTTTCTCTCCAGTGTGAGTTCTCAGGTGTGTTTTCACATGATCCAAGCGGGAGAAGGTAGCATCACACAGATCGCACTTATACGGTTTCTCTCCCGTGTGAGTTCTCATGTGTATCTTCACACTACTCAGACATGAGAAGGCAGCATCACACAGCTCGCACTTATACGGTTTCTCTCCCGTGTGAGTTCTCAGGTGTACCTTTACAATACTCAATCGTGAGAATGTAGCTTCACACAGATCGCACTTGTATGGTTTCTCTCCCGTGTGAGTTCTCATGTGTCTTTTCAAAGCACTCGGATCTGAGAAGGCGGCATCACACAGTTCACACTTATATGGTTTCTCTCCCGTGTGAGTTCTCATGTGAGTCTTCATATGCTGCATAGAGGAAAAGGCAGCATCACACAGTTCGCACTTATACAGTTTTTCTCCCGTGTGAGTTCTCACGTGTGTCTTCAAAGCACTCGAATATGAGAAGGCAGCATCACACAGACCGCACTCATATGGATTTTGCCCGGTATTAATTCTTACATACTCCATCGTGCTTTAGGGAAAGCTCCCACGTACTGGTCACACACGTCAGGTGTCTACCCTGTCTGGCGCTCAAGTTACGACCACGTTTGCTTCGTAGACTGCCTCGTCACACTTGTTGAATTCATATATAGGCTCTCCTACAAATTAGTAAAGAGAATACAAATAAATGCATTGAACAACGCGTATTGATGTAGAACAAAAACGCGCCCCATTTATGTTTGCAATATAACTGTTTATTCTGAATATCGAATTATTATCGTCCAAACATCACGCGCCATTTAACGACTGTAAGGTCAAGCACATAATATATCACGAAATTAAATACACTGAATTAATATAAGAAACATCCGTTTACCCAATGAAGTCACTGAACGTCTGTGTGGTGTTCTCGTATTAGACTAATGTTACAAACGTCAATGGTGTGATTATATACCTGTTGTTATGATGAAACCGGTTAGATATCCTGACACTCGGGTAACCGGTCTGATCTCCTGATACCAGAACACAAGGTGGACGCTTCCCCTAAATAATTACAAAAGCAACTGTGCACCTTGCCCACAAACATTGCTGTAAAACTATCTCTTGGTCTCTCCTGGGCTTGGTGGTTAAGTGGCATCCGTACTGTGTAGGGATGGATGTTGACCATATTTTACAACTGCGTAAGTAATTAAGGTCCTGGCCAGCTGGCCGGAAGAATGCATGTGTTTTTAAGCCATCTTATTACTGATTTGGCGATGGCTATAATGATGGGGATATAGCGTAGTTCAGTCTTCACAGCTTGCTCTGCACCACCTTATTGGTTGTGTTATACAAGGACTAGCACAGGTACATGGCGTTACTTAGGGGAAACGGCCAGGGACAACTTGTAGAGCCAATCCTGACACATATAGGCCTACTTACTTAATTCTTAGCATAGAGTCGCAATGGAGGAACGAAATACGTAAGGGGGTAAACAATATCGGGACAAAAACAGTTTGAAAGATTGTATGATTTCATGTAGTCAGTCTTCTAAATATACATTATGTAGAAAATGTGCCAAGTTACTATGAATATGCTTCTCTGGCAGTGCCTCAACTGGTGACGTCATTAGCACGCGTTATTTCAGAATGTGCTGTGAGCCATTCCAATGTAAGATGAATCTAACGATGTAGAATTTAGAGTAAAATAATCAAGAAGAAGTATAGAATTTGTGTTAAACTAATAGAATATATTGTTTACAATCAACAGTCGATGCCAGTACACGTCAGTTCCGTTCCGTCTCCCAGTCCCAAGTCCCGTTACTCTCCCCAAATCTCACATTTATATTACAAATCCCACCAATCACAAACAAGCTACACTTTACCCAGCCAATTACACACGACTCCTAGTTCCTTTGTTCGTCCTAGCATGCGCCAAAACTACATATATGCAAAACACATGTATTTAATCTGCCCTCTGTCTAGACACTGTCTACTACATATGCTACGCCACTGCCATTCGTAACCTACACGCTAACTGACTACTCTACCCAACCTAGGCTATTTACAGCTAAATCTATCTACATTAACAATGTATGCAAACATGTGCAAAAACACATGTTACACCAACATGCATTGCATGCTAGTTAAACTCATCATCACTCATTAAGATAAACTCATCAATCTATACATCTATATATATATATATATATGCGGGCAATTTTATGCTGGAGGCCAGTGGAGGGACTATATAAATAAAATCTAAATAATTCAATAGTTCAGGACAAAAGATGTTTGTAACTGCAAGAAAACGCATTTAAGTTATTTGAAAACAACTTTTTACTGGCTTGATTTTCGAATTTCATCGTAATTCATTTAAATGTGAAAATTTTATTACAAATTTTGTGCCTAGAGTGATCATCCCATATTCTAGCTACAATTCATCAATGGAAAAGTGAAACATGCCAAAGTAATCTTGAGTTTAATCAGAATCAATGCCTATTATTTGGAGAGGCTGCTTTCAAACACTGTAAGAAAAAGTGTCACGTCTGTCGTCAGTCACGAAAAGTTATAATTTTCTCCATATCTGACCTACACCTTTATCATTTTTGAAGATACTCATGATTCTCTTAGTAATAACCATAAGCTATCAGAATTAATAAACAAAAGCTTTAATTCTTATCAAGACAGGACACAGTATGCTACTGAATACTGTCACGTCAGTCACCGTGTCACGTCTGTCACAATTTTTGAGGTGTGTCACGTCAGTCACATATTGTATTTATTTCTATCTAGGATCTTAAAGTTAAGACATATCTGCCAAACTTTGTCTTAACTTTAAACGAACACAGACCTTGCTTAAAGCTTGTCTTAAAATTAACATATCCCATTTAGAGGCTAAAATCAGCCACAAAAGCCCCCAAATTCAGACCAAATGATTAACTTTCATTCCATAAAATCTGTTTGGTGTTTTCAAAGCACAAACAGTGTCAAACGACAATATAACAGTCTGTATACACACACAATGACACACATGTTGTCTGCTAGCTCACAACAAAATTAATTACAATGGTAATTTCCAATGAGAAAATTACTAAAATGTATCTTTTTAAAGGTAGACTCAGTGCATACCAACAACTGAAGTACTTCAACCAAAACACAAACATTTAGCAAGTGTTTTGTTTCACACTTTTTTGTACACAACTTCAATAAAAAATAAGTGGTGCGACTTATACAAGAACTCTTGTGCAAGAAATGTCATCATTATCGCAACCAGCCGCTATTATAAATGCCAAACCGTGCGCGCATATTGCATATGGGGGCAACCATCTTGAATACATATTTCAATAGTATCCGGAGTGAATAAAACCCTTTTCTCCACTCCTGATAGTATCATATTTTATGTATAATTATTATCATCTTAGCATTTTCTCAATGAAAAAGACTGTCTTCTGTACATGGATTTGTATCTGAATTACATGCAATAAAGATTTAATAATAATAATAAAAGCAGAAAAAGCAACCAGTGTGCTTACTTTAATAAATTAGAATGTGTAGGTAGGATGTGTGAATTTAAGGTGTAATGTGACGTCATTGTCGCAAACCAACACTTGATTGATGATAATTGTTGATTGTAGTTATTATGTTCATTCAGCAATTAATCCTACTGCATCATTCTCAGTAGAGCAATATATATTACCTTGATGTGATCGATTCGTTGATATCCTCAATGTGATAGAATTGTTAAATTGCTGGGTGTGGATCGATTCGTCGAATTTCGATGTTAATCGATGCGTTGAATTTCTGGACGTGCCTATGCATGACCCCTATATGTCTGCGACCTTTGGTCGCTGCATGACGCTTGGTATATACTTAATCAGAGCTCGAACGGAACTCTCTCGCTGCCGTCGACGATTCACTTCCTCGGGATTCGGACAGTTCTCCCCTTCCCCGGCTCTAATAGTAAATAAATAAATTTATCGGGTTGCCTCATCATCCGTCGGGCGCGCCCGATATCGTGGTGAGTGTGTTACTCATCATGACGTTTTCGATTGCTAGGAGAACATTAGCGGTCGCAACTCCTGCTAATGAAGCTCCTTATAAGCTCTAGCACTAATTAAAACGGGGGAAGTAACAATCAGTGCCGAAATGCCGGTACAGCGATGTTTAAACGTTTCCACGAATTCCACTTCCATGTCGTTTTATTTATTCTGGGGCACTAGTGGATCCGGGATTTCAATGAGGGGGTGAGTAATAGGCGGGGAGGGAAGGGGGTTCTCCCCCAGCAAATTTTGAAAATGTAGATCACAAGAGATGGTATATGAGGCACTTTTGAGCCTCATTCTGATTTACAGCACCGCCTTCATTCTGCAACTAGCTGCTTTACCACTCAATTACATAATTTTATATTAATTTAACCCATGCATCAGGTAGAGTTTTGTACAGCCACGCGACTATTATACTTAGCAATAATTAATTGGTATAATATACAAACACATATATAATATTATGTGTAAAAATATTGTTACTCCAGCGGAGGGGTGGGGGGCAGGCACCCAATACACCACCCCTCTTAATCCGCCACTGCGGGGGTATAGCTTTGAATAGTGTTTGTTGTGAACGTAAGACATCAAAACAGGAAGATGTGTGTGTGAACGACCCATGTTCTTTACTTCCTTCTTAAATCAAAATTCATCAGAATACTGTATAAAACTTTAGCCCCAATAGAGGACGAGCAAGAATTTGAACCTTTTCAGTCCAAACAAATTGCAGAGAAGTTTGTTTTATTGTTGATTCTTGTTTATTGGTCGTCTGATGACATATCAAAGAATGGCACAATTCAAACCCAAATTACCTAATTTTGCATATTTACAAATGGCCGTCATTTTCAGATTTGAGGTCAATTAATCTCTCAAACTATTCATCGTTCAGCCCAATAAAACGCATTATGAAGGTGAATAGAAACATGGCCCAATGAATTTAAAATACATTATTTAAAAGCCCAAGATAACCCTTTGAACAGCTAGGTTTTAATATGTCAAAAAGTATGTCCGGTGACTACAGTTTTTAAAACAAACAAGGAATGATGAAGCATTTAATCAAGTATAAAACCACCGGGTTCAATGCAAATAGATTAAGTAAGCACACACTGGATATATGTACATTAATCTTTTGATTAGCATACTGTGCATGTAGTACTCCAAACATATCCAATGGTATATTTGTACAAAGTCCGTCTTGACACTTCCAGCAGCTTCATTGCCAGAACATCCCGTTCTCTTGCACGAACATCTCATGTGTCACAATACTCCTTACATTTGCAACGAGTATTATCTTCAGGTAGCGCATCAGGAACTGGCTGTTGGTCCCATCTCTCGGGCATCAAACTTTCCACATTGACCTATCTAACACCCTCCAACTTCCGGTTTATTGCTACTTTTCCTAATCATATTGAGTCCTGTTAGGAAAACCCTATAAGAAAATGGAACTTGGGCATCGCATCTTCTGTCGGTGGCAGCCTTTGTGATGTCGACACTCTTGAGGCTCTTCACAATCCTTGTCACCAAACATCTTTCTACGTAAGCACTATTCAAAGTGGGTACCTTGCCACCATACATCAGCAGTACCAATGCTTTGGCCCCAGCACTCTGATTTTATAATGGTTAAATAAACTTGACATGAACTTCACCTATCTTCATTAGTTTGTCCCATTTCTTAGTCCCTAGCACACAAGCCGGTGTGGTGTCCGATCACCATGGAGGTCCCCCAGATGTTGTACGCCACCCACAATTACAAGCATGCCAGCATGGAGTATGTGCATAGCCGGCTTCCTTAACAACTCTGCACATCGTCGTCTGGATGTTCCACAGGGTCTCTTAATTGCACTCTCTTTCTCTGACTTCCAATGAACAAGCTGGTACTGGTTTATGGTGGTGGCCACAGAGCACAAGGATGTCAGTATCCTCTCAATGGAACAAATGTCGTCTCGTACACGGCCAATGTCACGCTTCTTGAAAATCAACAGATCGGCGGTCGTCCTTCCTGCCTGAATGGTTTCGATGTCCTGTTCCTCACTCATCAGCTAGCATGTTGAATGCAACGTCTGTTTGTTTGATTTGTTCATCAGGAA